CGTGTTGGTGTTGCGGATGATGCGGTTCTGGTCCATCTTCTGGCCGATGCCGTGCACCACGAACACCAGGTGAGACACGTCTGGAGGGCGGTCCTCCACCAGAGCCTCCTCCACGTAGCCCCTCTGTAGGTGCGTGCCACTGCTGGATGCTGCGCGCGCACACAAAGACAAAGATCCCCTGTATAGTTATAGATTTGAAGCTTTCGTGACTGCAAGGATTCATATTCTTAGGTTTTTTCGGTAAAGTCACGTAGGTAAAAAATTAAAATGAATTAAAATAAAATAAAAATAAAATAAAAATCACGACGTTTCGGAGGCAACACAAGCTTCCGTCTTCAGGTGGAACCGTCACAGCACGATTGCTGTATCACCTACGTGACTTTACTGAAAAAAACTAAGAATATGAATATCCCCTGTATAGCCTCAACCCTCCTTAGCTTCCGAGATCTGACGCGATCCATCTCCCTAATTTCAGCCGGGTCTGTCCTTGTTGATAACCCAGAAAATATTAGGCCATCCGGCGCACCACATCCAGTAAACCTTCCGCCATGGCTTCGACTTCTCGTCACGTGCCACCTACATTCAGTCTACCACAGAGACCCGTAAAATATTCGGTGAGAAATTAAGCCCAATTTGAAAAATATATATATATAAACCTACTGTAGGGTCTACATCATGGGACCTCCTTTGCCAGTACCAAAATATGGAAAAGGGGTTTTCCCCTTTTTTCTGGCAACAAAAAAACACCTTTTACAAGGAATCATGTCTGCATTAACCACAATACTTGTGGTAAGAATGCAAAAAGAAACATACTCTGATAATATGTGCATAGTCTTTTAAACTGTAGATGCTCACCCCGAGCTCTCATTACTCTGATAGTGCATTGTCTTTGTGCTGTACGCCTTTTGGCGTCCTCTGGTCTAACACCGTTTGAGACGAGTTTTCAAAGAAAGCTGTCTCTGGTGTGGACCAATCAGTTTCAAAGACAATATATTATCAGAGTATGTTTTTTGTTTGCATTCTGACCACAAGTATTGTAGTTAATGCAGACATGATTCCTTGTAAAAGGTGTTTGTTTTTTTGTTGCCAGAAAAAAAGGGGAAAAAACCTATTTTCCTACTGTAGGTTTTTGTACTTTTAAATATCATGAATGAACATTGAAGTGCACCTTGAAGAGATGTTTATAACGTGCCGGGGGCACACAGAGGCTTGCAGTCAGGCAACGGCCGACAGGTGACGGAAGGGTAAAGGGATTGTAAACGACACCGGGTTTGCTCAGAGGCGTTGGTGTTGGTGTGACCCAGGTGTCCCGTTTCGGTGTGTGGGCCAGCGCACACACTCACACAACCCCCGCAAAAGACAAAGAATCCCCGTATAGCCTTTACCAGACCATTGGGTGCAAGTGCTGTTAGCGAGTAGGACCTAAGAAGGCTGGCATGGCACACAAGGGGGTGGGTGATCAACATCCACCACTCTCGGTTACCTTTGTTTCCCCAACCCTGACGTTTACACATTGCACCAGATACACATTTGAGGCTGAGTCGACCAAGGGAAGGCCCAGAACCGCTGGAAATACGAACTTTTAAATCTAGATTGAAAACTAATTTCCTTAGAACTGCTTTGTGTTTAGATTGTTGTCCTTCCACCGCACCTTCATTGAGCACACTGTTGTATATGTTGGGTATGAAAATTTGTTATGTTGTATGCGTGCGTGGGTGAAATTATTATGTTGTATATGTGGGTTATGAATATTCAGTGGAAATAATAATAATTAATGAAATTTGGCCAAATGTGTAATTATCCGGAAATATGTTAATTTATGTAATTACGCACATTTTAATTATGCCAATTCGAGAGGTAATCGTATTAATTATGCGAGTGGGTGTAATTATGATAACGCAAGTCGTTATGATAACCAGACCCCGGTTCACCCCGTTATCGCTTTAACATTTACTGAGTATGTATTAGTGTGTTTATTAAGGTCACCAAGTTCAAATCTCAACGCAGAAGCAGATCTTATGCATAGATTTCAGGAAAGAATCACACAACCACTTCTGTATTGATCAATTTATTACTAATTCAACCTTAACTATGATATAGTATGCGAACTCTCAATCCCGGAACGTCAATACGGCATCAATACAGTATCATCAACGATTGTCTGATTTCACTTTGACAACTGCACATGGATCCCGCATAACGCGATGGTTGTTAGTGAGAGAGAGAGTCGTTAAAACATGCAAATACTATGCTAAGAAAACCTTAACGTTAATGAATGATTATACTCAATATTGTTCACGCAGTACCGCACTCCTTATTGATCATACGCAACCCTTATCACGTTGTTAACACCTTGGGTCACGGAACAGTTGAATATTCTGTAGAGGATGCGAGTACGTGCGGCGATTATGACTGAAAGATACTTGAAAGATTATACGGCGATAAAAAAAAAACACAATCAAAACAGTTACTATTCTTAAAGGCACCAATCTCAACAGATACATCGGCAGGTTATCTGACAGCAGAACGGCTCGGAGTAAGGGCCTGCGACGGTGCTCCTTTTCCGAAGATCGTTATCTTATACCAAGTTTACTAATTGGGGACCAGATCACCTGATAAGGATCCGGTGGCCACCACTCCCCACGTGAGCGTGGCTCGGCGGAAGGAGGTGCCAAGAATCAGTTCGTATTGATGGATCTGTTGGGAATTTATGCGATTAAGAGTACAGCCCACTAAATATTAAAGATAAAAATTAAGAATACTCTTATACGACGGATGCCACCACTCGGTCTCGTTGTGATGCCTTCCCAGCCACGGATGACTTATGGGTTCGAGTGTGTTTGAGTGGTAAGAGTTGTCTTGAATAGTCAGTGTTCGGAGTCGATTCTTTATGTCAAACAGACGCCTGGTGGTCGTGTGGTGAGGGGGCGGTGCGCGTCATACGTATCAGGCGCTCTCCTGTCACCGTGGTGAATTGGCTCGGATGGCTGTTGATACGCTGTCGCAGTTCGGAACCCGGTCGGTAGGTGGCGCCCACAACTCGCTCGTAGCGTGCAGCGTTGGATCGTCGCCAAGTCGCGACGCTCACCACCGGCGGCAGCGGAGATCTCCGGCGGCAGCAGAGATTGACGAGCTGAAGATGAGTCGAGCCGACCCGCTGGTCGCAGCTCGCTCCTGAGTCGACCCTCCCGGTCGAGCTCGCTCCTGGGTCGACCCGCTGGTCGCCCTCGCTCCTGAGTCGACTCTCTGGTCGCACTCCTGAGTGGACCCGCTCTGGTCGCACTCGTTCCTGAGTCGACCCTCCCGGTCGAGCTTCTGAGTGGACCCTCCCGTCGCACTCCTGCTGAGTCGACCCTCCCGGTCGAGCTTCTGAGTGGACCCTCCCGTCGCACTCCTGCTGAGTCGACCCTCCCGGTCGAGCTTCTGAGTGGACCCTCCCGTCGCACTGGTTTCCAATGTTCAGGATCCGTTCCTTTATGCTGAAAAATCCCCCTGGATCCCGCCCACAAGGCGGGGCTTCCGATTTTTGCTGTGTCAGGATCTGTCCGTAGGCAGGTGTGTCCATGTGTGTGTCCGTATGTCCTTGTGTGCATCACTGACGGTATATTCCGTTGTCAACTCCCTCCATAAAACCCACGAGCAAACAACCAGATGTTACAAATTGTCTCGAAGTCGTCTCTCTGTCTGGGTGCAATTTATCTCTTGTCTGGCCTTCTTCATGAACCCAAAACACAGACGTTACAAATCGTCTCATAGGCGTCTTTGTTCGATGTTGCACAACCTGGAGGGGGGGCAACACTCTCTCCGACCCGGCGCACAAAGAAATGGTTAAAAGTTTTAAGTTAACATTTGTCCCTTACTATTTCACAGTTATGATTCTGTATGTAACCTAAGGTCTGTCGTTTCCCATCGTGGTTCCCGACCCAAGTGTAGGTGTTTCCCCGAGCGTACACACACTCCTATCCCGCGCTGCGGGGATACAAAGACGGCCGGGATCTCCCTTTCTCTCCGACCCTGGGTTTAACATTGTTTTTTTTTTATTATGTATTTATATTCGACCTGGTGGTGATTCATCCCGTTATCCTGGCTTTTCCATAAGTTTAACTTTTGTCTTTCATGCATATACTTATTACTATTAATTTATTTCCGATATCTTAGGTTAAGGGGTAAGTTTCTTGATCCTAGGAATTCGTATTCCTTGGTGCCTGGATGGTTATATAAGCGGAATATAGTTTACGGTGAATAGCGTTAACATTGATGTTATGTGCGATATTATGTATTGTGATGTCTTTAACTTAACTTGTTTGTCAGGGCTTTACTGACACGAAGTTGCATTCCATAGCCCGCAGTCCTTTGCCCCACCCTATCTCTGCTCGCCGTTGTTGTTGCCTGCCGTTAATTCAAGGCCTCATTAATTTCCGTCACCCCTGAGTAGGTGAGGGCGGTTGAACCTTGGAGTCAGTTCTGGTTTTTGTCTGCCTGCTTCTTCTTGTGTCCCCTGACCCCGGGAGTTATTATTCTACTTTATGGCCTGTCGAAGCCCCACTCGCTGTTGCTGGGCTGGTGTTGTTCCCGGCTTTTTGCTTACGTTTGCAGTTCGCCGTGCTCTTGATTTCCTTCCCTCTTCAACCTTATATTGACTATTCGCTCCTGTCTGGGTGCGATTCAATTTTGACTTAGGAAGGTTCTGATTGTCATATGCTTCGGGTCGAATTGTATAGAAAGTATTGAAGTATGGAAATAACATTTCATATTGACTTAATGATGGTGATGGTTCAGTAGGCGTAACTTGTGACCTGGTTTAATTGGAGTGGGTGTGAATATCAATAACTTTAGCCTACTCTGTTGTTAAATTCCGACTTTAACGTTACTTTAATAGCAATACAGAATAATTGAGCTTTTTGTCTTAACTAGGCGAATGCGAACTTCTGGTGACCCCCGCAGCCGTGTTGTTCAGCTGGGTCTTGTGCCTTGAGAGATATACAACCCTCTTTTAAATCACCTCTCCCCCTGCCAACCTTCTGCTCTGGGAGTGTTTATTCTTGATTCCAGGTCCAAGGCCCCCTCACATCCAGACGCGCAGGGTTGTTTACATCAGCTCCCCCCCTGTGCACGTGTTCTAACTAGCTCGGAATTCCTGAACACACAA